GCAGCAAGCAGGTGATTTATACCCACCACCTGCAGGGATATCTTGATAAATAAGCCTGTTAAGGGATGCCCACGAGTAAGCTGGCTCCATTAGAAGAACGTTTTATTTAGGTTACCTTTAGTGTAATTTAGACAACTCCAAGCAGGTGTGAAATAATTTCGGGTGGGAGTGAAGTGAATGGAAAATAGTGGTCTGGATGGAAAAGCAGCTGGGAGAGAGGGAAGGAGTTGGTCCTTGACTCAAAGTCTGGGAGCTGTGAGGGTCATCCAGCTGGGAAATACTCTCCCACAACCACGTTAGATAATAGACCCTCTGAGAGAAACAATTCACGGAGTCATTTGCAAAGCAGCGTTTTTGGCTGACTTGGCATCCCATATGCTATTGAGCGGCATATTCTGAGATGTGCTGGAGAACAACCACCACAACAAAAATTCCCGAGGAAAGGGTGGTAGGGTTTGGGGGTGAAATAATACTGGAAATAACTGCCAATCACTAAATTCCAATATACGCCAGGTACTCTGCCAGGTGCTCTACATGAGGTGCATATGTTCCAACAGTCCTGTTGGGCAGGGCTTATCAAACCCGCTTCACGGATGAAGATCCTGAGGTTCGTAGGGCTTGTTAATTTACCAGGGTCACATGGCTAGCAAGTGACATGNGATAGTGTGTGGACTTTATTAACCTAGGGTCCTCCTGTCTCGATCCCCAGGGTGCCTTAAGAGCTGACTTTACCCAGGAGCCAGCACTTCTGTCTGGCCCCCAGCACTTTCCTGCATCACTGTACCCTTCACCTGGTTGTCTCCTGTGTGTCACCCTGTCCACCTCTAGAACCTGGCCTGCTGACCAGCTTGTCCCTCTGGACTCCTCTGAGGACAGCCCAGAATCACCCACTCAACTCATGACACAGAGAATTCCTATTCTGTACAGAAGTCCTTTTGCTGTCCCATCCCATCTCTGGAAATCCTTCTTATAGCAACAGCCCTTTCAATATACAAGTTGACTTTGGACAGTGATGTTTACATATCTGGTTGTTCCCTTGGGTACCTTCAACAAACTCTGTTTTCCAAATGAGCTGGTGAGTAGAAACTGATGTGACCCATAATCTACTAGTTCTTTGGAAATGACCCTTAAGTCAGAGGACTAGTTTTTGAAGTTGCCCTGATATTTACAGTAGGATTTTAATGGGATGTCTAATTTGAAACAGGCTAGTGAACATATATTCAGATGAGTGAACTTAACTAGGTGGTCAAAAACCAAAGCCTCCCTTATAAGTAGTAAAGAAGGAAAGACCATGGAAATTACTGTGAAGCAAATATCTACAGAGGCTGAATTCCTAAAACCTCTGGGGGCCCCTAAGAAGTGAAAAATTGTCTCTTGATGGATATGCTCTCTGTAATTTAAAAAGAAAGAATAATTAACCACCTGTCGGGCTAGGGTCAGACCCTTCAAACCCATTGTACAGACTGGGACACAGACCCGTCACATGCCAGGCTGGACCACCAGACTCCTCACATGCCAGGCTGGGCCACCAGACACCTCACATACAGGTTACAAGCTATGAAATTGGGAAAAGACCTCGGGAGCCATTGGAAGTGTTGACGGGTTCATTCCAAAGCGAGCTCAGTCCTCAGCTTCCTCAGCAGCAGCAGTAGCAGCACCAGCTTACAGCAGCCTCCAGCAGCAGTGCTGGTGGCCTCCTGAGGCATCCCAGGGGCCCTGGCAGCAACAGCTTGGAGCAACAGCCTCCAGCAGCAGTAGTGGCCTCCCTCTGACCCTCCTGGGGCATCCCGGGGGTGGGGGGCACTGTGGGTCAGAGCCGTTGTCCTTTATCCTTAAGTCCAATAACCCAGGACACCTAGGTGCGAGTCAGACAACCAAAGAACACCTGGGTACACATGCGCAATTACATTAGACAATACCCAAGGGACACCTGTGCACACGTGAATATTTACATCAAATGCTCAGCAAGATTCTGAACATCTGAGGGACCCTGAC